ATGCGGTGTTGTAGGGCAAAGCCATCCCTCACCCGTCTTCTAATTTCTGCATAAACATTCTTCACTTATGAGAAGCTAAAACTTTGAAAGGTGTTTAACTTCTTCCTGGAGTACTTTGTTCGAAGTGCCACACGAATTTTCGATCAATATAATAATAGGTAGAAGAATTGGTAGTCTTGTTTTCCAGTTTCCTATTTTTGATGAGCTTTCTAGCCGCTCGGCTCTAGTTATTCACGAAGCATTGTTCTTGCCATCGCGTTAATCCACAACTGGATTCACTATTTGCTCCTCCGTTTTTTTTTACTATCTTGGAGTCCTTTTTTTCAACTTCCGATTACAAATCCGGTTTGATTTACGTGGTTGATAGTTTAGTTTGATGTTTTGAAGCATTGTTCCGAGTTTTCCATAGCTACTGTTCCCTTCTCGCAAATAATGTGGACCTATAGGTTGTGAATCCATTCTTTCAGCTTTTATCGAAGGCCGCGTTGAAGGATGAAAATATGGCCGCGTTCCGTAACTGTTCACTTGATGGTATTTGCTTCGTTCAGCAAATCGTTCATATTCTACGGGTTGCGTGCAATCAACCTCCAGAGGTGAAATTCGCTCAATCTTGGGGAAACTCCTCCCGCCTACTCACAACTGAATCCATTCCAGACTCAAGTTGTCGAAGGAATCAGGATCTGTGAACTCGTTAATCTTTCACTTGTAGTTCTTCATTGCTTATGTCGAAACAGAGAGCTTCTGGAAATGGTGAGTGAAATTTTGCTGCAGCCTGTGTCTCAGATAGTTATAGAAAGTCTAGAAACGCCAGACTTGAGACCAACATCTCCTGAATTCTTTATTAGAAAATTAATGAGAGGAATAGATATTAAACTTCAATGCCACCTGTCGACAACATGTTCTCATGTGCTCGCCGGTAATTGTGATTGCCTCATTACAAGGCAAGGGTGGCTCTTCGTGTATAGCACAAGAGCTTTCCTTTATTTATCTCTTTTATTCCCACGTTTGAACTATTTTGATTTAACAGCAGTGAGAAATTTTGGAGCTGCTTGAAGCGAGGAGGTCACGCGGCAGCGCGATCACTAATGGGATGGCCCATAAGTGATGGCGTTTTTTTCTTCTAACTTGAAATTTCGTATCAAAGACGTAATGTTTCACTGATAATTCCCGTGTCATTTGATTGAAATTTTTGTGCCTTATAACATACCCTGTCTAGCTTTTTCGAAGATTCCCTTTCTCTTAATATTCAGCTTTTTAAAGTGGAATGTCAAGTTGGCGAGTTCGAGCATTTTTGACAAGCTCCCCCTTTGCCACATACTTAGAAAACTGAAACTGCACAGGCCCACTTGTTAAGTATATGGCCAAAAAACCATGTCTTCAAGGAGGACATAAGAGGGTGAGAGTGTTTAGAGATTTTCATTTCGACCTCAAAAACAAGCATTGTACCTGATGCCCCTGTTGAGTTCGGCTAAAAGCTTAATTAGTTTACTAGTTTAGAATTAGGTTATTCACTTAGAACTATGCCAAAGAATGGGGAATCGGTATGTCATGGAAGGCTCCCACATTCCTGATGAGTTTTTTTCACTTGATGGGAGAGGTTCAAAACTTGGTGGATGGGTTCTGCAGGTAGTGGCTCCCCAAGACCAGGGCACATCATTGTTAAGGGTTCTCCAGTTCCCCAGCAGGGGGAGGTCGGATTTGGTCGCTGGGAGAGGGGTCGTATGATAGTTGATTTTTCTTGATTTAGGTACGATGAAAAGGTGGGGGAGTATTTGCTCGTTGTTCGGAGGGGGTCGTATTTCCCTTCTGATCTGAAAAAGGTTGCTGACTTCTCATGATGCTTTCCCGTATCACAAGTCCTATTTACCCCCCCCCCCCCTTCGCCCTCGCCCCTTCCCGCCCTTCCGCTGGACTGCTTGATGAGGAGGGAGATCAGGGCAGAGGATCGTACAGACTTGACTAAAATCCCCAACTAATGAGTGAGCTGCCCAAGACGAGCTTGATGCGATGGACATTCCCAAGGCCAAAATTTCCAAATCTGGATGGCTTGAACCAACATCACGCCATCCTAAGATGCGTCGTTCCTTGTTTGTCTTTCTTTGTATCCATCACAAGCTTCGAGCTGCTTCGGCAATATGATAGCTCAGATGATGTGTAAAATAGTTGTGTTAAAACACTTATCCAGTGCCGACCCGGCCCTTCTTTTGGATGAATTACAAATCAAGAAAACCATAAAGAATAGGAAGCTGAGAACATTCTTCTGTAGAGCAAATTACCTGCTGAACAGCCTAGAATTCATTGGGAAACTCGGCACTATTCGACCATTACTTCCAACAACTCGAAAAAAGTTTTCCGGTGAAAGTTTGCCCATAAGGGTAATTCCATGTCCTAATCACGAGTGTGACATTCGTTTGTAACGCTGGCGCCATTTGGCGCCATTTTGGCGCCACCACTTTTCTCACAAAAATCGGTGTAAACTTGCATACTGGGGTTGTTCGGTATTCTGATCACGAACATGACATTCATTTTCAAGCCTGGCGCCGTTTAGCGCTATGAGGCGCTGATTTGGCGCAACATCCTTTCTCATCAAATCAAAGAAAACTTGCATAATAAGGTTGGTTGAAGCTCTAATCACGAATATGACATTTATTTTTCGACACCAGCGCCATTTAGCGCTCTTCTAAGGCTGAGCCTGGGAGAAGGAGTGATTCCCTTTAGGCCAGGCTCAGCCTTAGCAGAGCGCAGATGATCGTAGTGTCTTCCATCAGCGCCAGCGCCAAAAATGAATGTGATATTTGTAATCAGGATGTCAAATAATCTCCGTACGCAAATTCTCAGCGAAATTGATGACCTAGGGTATTTTGGCGTCTGTGGCGCGGGCACCAGGCACTTTCTGGCAAAGCGAATATGATATTCGTGTTCAAGAGGTGAAACCACCTGGGGTTTTCAGCGGACTTGGTGATATAGGGTATCTTGGCGTCTCCGTTCGCCGGCGCCTGTGACGCGGGCACCAGGCAGTTTCAGGTCGAGCGGATGTCATATTCGTGCCCAGCAGGTCAATTACCCCTGGAAACAAGTCTTCAGCGGATTCGGTGATTCAGGATTTTTGCCGCCGGCGTCTGTGGTGCGGGTGCCAGACAGCTTCAGGAGGTCGAAATACCTCTAGAACGAAATTTTCAGCCGAATCCGGCACCTTAGAAAAAAGTCGGTCAAAATCTGGACGATTTGGAAAATTGGGGTAGTAACAGTTGAATAGTGCCGGAAAGTCCTCCACTTTTCACAGAAAGCTTCGCAAATAAA